CTCAATGAAGTTAGCCCGTTGTCCCTGAGGGGCAGAGGGCTTAAATCCAGGACATGGTCCTACAGTCTGCACAAGGGTCTTTCATATCATAAAGCCTAAAGTAGGGCATTTTGTTCTCATTCCCTCAAACTGTGTTATGTCTCTTTTCACTGTGGGTTTGTGCGCTAAATTAAGCAAGAAGGCAAGACACGCTTCTTTTTCTTGCTCTCATGTAGGGCGGTGTGCAAAGTTAAGGCTAAGCACACTTTTTGAAACTTCTATCCGGGATAATGCCATTTTAGTCTATTTTGAGGCTCCAAATTGTATAGATTTCCCTAAGAGTTCATATGCTTGACAGAGTAGGAAAGAAGTCCCCAAAAGTATCTGATGACTTAGCAACTCTCCTCACTAACTGCCTATTAACTTCCATAGCAACCATCAGTGTTGAGTGATTTGGGGTACGTTTACCCTCGGAATTTTATCTGATGAACATAGTGAGAGGGTCATCAGAGTGCTTTCAAAAAAATCAAAATCTGAAGACTTAAATTTTAGGCTGGATACTCTTTAGTGCAAAATATCATGCACAATCCAGAATTTTTCTTTCCTCCATACTACAAACTGAAATAACAGGTACAGGGAGTATCAAAGACCTAATTCTTGCTAAAAATGGAAAAATGAAGACTTGGGGAGTACTGAGAAACCTTCTCATACATTTAGCAAATAGAAAGCAAAATATCCCTTCATAAGAACGTCAGAAATGCAGCACCAATTGAAAGTCACACTCTTGGAGCCAAATCAGGGAATCAAGAGGTGTACATCAAATTAATAATTTCCACGACCTTTTAGCTTCGATAATAAAATTAAGGGTTCTACCATATGTTGTGCAGTGGCATTAAGACCCATGACTGGGGAATAGGGATTTGATGGGAGCCAGCATGGGCCAGTGATGCCGTGCCTCTCAAGCCAGTGGAGCAATTAAATGAGATTTCTCCCTGGGCATAAAGCTGCTGTTGCCAACATAAAATGTTTAATTAAACTGGCCTGGGTATATTAAAGATTAAATTAGAGGAGGATAGCTGCAAATCTGTGCTCCGTTTTCAAAGCCGCATCTCGTCATATCAAATGCAGGCTCACGAGGGTTTTATTCTCCCTGACTCCATGGTAGCCATGACTCATTAAAATGTCCTCAGCAGGTGTCCGCACTTTCCTTGTGCACAGCTACTTACTGCCACTCAACAATGGGTTTAAATCCTTTGTGCAAAAGTAGGTTTTCAGATTAGGAAAACAGTAGCTATTTTAAGTTATTTACATCTGTGAACATCAGGCTCCTGGTTGAACAGATAAGTCTTTATTCCCCTGTATGTTTACATAATAAATTGTTTACAGACTTTTTTTATACAATATTTGCGTAGCAGTGTTTAAATTTCATATTTTTACTGTACAAGGTAACTTCGCGTACCTCTGCTTTGTCTTCTTAGGGAGGACATGATAAAGACCTGTGGTAAATATACAACCATGTGATAAGGCGGGAGGCGAGGGGGGAGGTGCAATAGGGTAGAGCAGAATACTCACAGGAAGAAGAGTAAGGTCAGGATACTACCATCAAAGTGGGAACCAAGGAAGTGTCTTCCATTCAAGCAACTACCACCATTTGGCAACTCTGCATAAGTTAGCATTACCCAAAGAAACTCCTTCCTCCACCTTGGTGAAAGGAAACCCGGGATAAACAAAGCAGTATCTTGTTACAGATTATTTGAAATGGAGGCCATCTGGGATTCATTCTGACTCAAGAAACCCAAGTACATCCAACTTCAGGAACATGGCTAGGGTGGAAAATGAAAAGACTAACTTTGTGTTGGTAAAATTATAGTCTCCAGAGAGGAATAAAAGACAGTTTTATATTATCTGGAGTGTTTCAGTAAAGATTTCATTTTAAATATCCCTCTGCTAGTATCTCTGTTCTGCCCAGCAGCCTCTAATTCACTTAATTCAGTACTTTGGGCAACCCTATCATTTTTGTCCCCAAACTAAGTTAGTGGCTACACGAGCCTGGTAATCTTACAGTCAGAGAAAGTTAAAGACTCCTGGAAATTTAGACAAACATCATCATGGGAGACTTTACTTTGGCCCAAGATACCTATAGTGTGCATTTATTCAGGTGAACTCAGATCCCTCCATACTTCTGGGCTGAGGTCAACCCAGAAGGTCCTCCCCTTCCCATACAATTGCTGAAGGCAGACTGTTCCTGACTTGGGGAAAACTGTGTTAGTTCGAATCAAAATGATCAATTACCTGTCAGCAGAGCAGGAAAAGAGTATTATAAACAAAACCAATTATTTCATCTTGAGAAAATTTTTCTTGAGTTTGTTTCCCTGTAATTATTAGCAATCCAAGTTCTATAATTCTACTTCAGAAAGAGCCAAGTCCAGTATCAAGTGACACTGAACAAAGTGACAACCTCTTTTGGAGGTATTTTAAAATCCACATCTTTCCATTTTCTAAACTACTACAGACAGGTGAAATTATGGAAGTTCCCTTATTCAGAGGATCAAGGAAATTAAGAATGATAGTTGTCGCTTTCCATTATGAGCTCCTCTCGGGAATTTTCTGTGGATTATTCCTTTTACTGTCTTTAATAGTAACCACATTTCATCTGAGGTGGGTGGGTGATTTTGCTAAATGTTACCCTAAACCAGGAGTCATGGAAAAAGATCAAGAAAGAGATGCTTCCAGATGCTGAAAGCAATACTAAATGGATAATAATTCAACTGATTTTCCTATACCTTATTACCTTCCTTGATGGTATTTCTAAAGAGAGGAGTTTCAAAAATAACTTAAATGATGGCAGCATCATTAAAGTATTAGCTTCCCAAGTAAAACCAGATGCCTTTGAATGGAACAACACTCAATTAGCTGTCAAAATTCTGGTATGTCTGCTAAAGAAGTCATTAATTATGATCATAGTTAGAAGTGTCTATTTAAACCTTATCTCCTCCGAGTCCCGTGTTTTTAGAAACACTGGGACCTGAATTTGGTGATCTAGTTATTTGAATGCTTTAAAAAAAAAAAAAAAAAAAAAAAACGCCAACAATTTGTTATGTGTTCTGGTATAGTTACTACTCTTACACAGTTGGATTAAAGCAAATCAGAAACATATGCTTATAGTATCTGCCCATCTTTAAGTGTCAGATCACTGATTTTATGTTTTAAAAGAAATCTTCTGACACTGTTTTGTTGGAATAGGTAGGGTGTGTGAGTAATATTAAAAAAAAGAATCTATGTCCCAAACTGTCCAGTAATGCAGGCTTCTATTCAGTTAACCAAGAAAGAGCAACCCAAGTTAGTAAAAGTCCATTATAATTCTCTAAAATGTAAATACTGCTACAGTAACAGTAAGAGCTACAGAAGGTAACTGAAGAACATCCGGATTATACAAATCCTTCATAGTCCTTCCAAAGCATAATAGTATGTACGTAGAAGTCTAGAATTCCATAAGCTTAAAGACCATCTAGTCCAAACCCATCATTGTATAAAAAAGGAACAATAGCTCTTAGAAGTGAAGAGCCTGCTGAAGGCTGCTTGGCCAGTGACCAGAAAAGGTCAGGGAGAGATCCCAGGTAACCTGGCCTGTCCTGTCCAGGCCTCTTCAGCTGGCCCGGCCTCTGGTTCCATGTGAAATGAAGTGGATGGACTAGAGACTGGTCTCTCCGATCCCTCTTGTGGAGTTCGTATGTCTACCAGTTATCAGCATACCTCACTCATATCAAATAAACCCTTTTAGCTTAGGGATGAAGCTATAAACTAAGGGAGGTCCCATTTGCTGAGTCACTCACATGGATACCTTAGCAGAAAAATAGTTCTTCTCTATGAGGCCCCATTCCTAAAGAACAAACCCAAGATGATTTCATGTCATTATCTCCCTCAGACTTCCTCCATCCAGTCTCTGGCTACTAGTCTGTTCATTTTCATTAACAGTCTCCATTAAGCTTTATTGAGCCAGATGACTAGATAATATATCTCAATGTGATTACGGGAAATACATGAAAGGAACAATTTAGAGATACCTAATTTCTAAACTGTACTCTTCATGGTTTCAATTAAATTGAGAAACTAGATATTTCATTATATTTCTAACATGTATATGTATGAAAAAAATCAAATTGGAAAACATAGGCATAAAACATTGTTCTTATTTAAAAATAAACATTTCCTTCGTTAGATTATACATTCTTTCTATGTCCAGGAAAAAGAATACAGTTTTGATCTTCAGTAATATTCCTGTCCACAAAGGTGCAAACCGAGTCCCATTTTCACTGCTATCCAATCATGGAGAGCTCTTCAAGGATATCTTTTTTTTTTTTTTTTTTTTTTTTTCCAGCAGGAAGGTGGTGCCTCCCTCAATTTTGGAAATGATCCATTATCCTAATAGAGGGCTTTACTTAGCTCATCTAGTTTCAGCTGGCACAGGAAGTATTTAAAGTCAGGAGGAAGACTGAAAGATTCAGACTTTTCCTCCACTGCCTTTCAAAGGCTGCTCTCACATTTCTAGGGTCAAAGCTTGACCTCCAAAGTGCAGTGTTTTGCAGGCTGTTGTTGCTGCTC